AGCAAAGTTGTATCATCTACATATTGTAGGTTGTTACTGTGTCTTCCTTCAATCCTGATGCCACATTCTTCTTCATATATTCCAGCTTCTCAGATTACTTGCTCAGCACTCAGATTTACTCAGTATGGTAAAAGAATATGACCCTGGCACACAACTCTCCTCATTTTAAACCATTCGATACCCCTGTTGTTAGTTGTTGTTAAGTGCCATTGAGTCACTACCAATTCACAGTGACCCTATGCACAACAGAAGGAAATACTGCCCAATCCAGGGCCTACTTCACAATTGTTATTGTATCAGTATCCCCAGTTCTGTTCAAATGACTCCTTCTTAGTATATGTACAGGTTTCTCATGAGCAAAATTAAGTGTTCTGGAATACCCATTCTTCTTCTTGTTATCTATAGCTTTTCATGATCCACATAGTTGAAAGCCTTTGCATTGTCAATAAAGCACAAGTAAGCATTTTTCTGGTATTTTCTGCTCTCAGGCACAATCCATTTGATGCCAACAATGATATCCCTAGTTCCATGTCCTCTTTTGAATCCAGCTTCAGTTTCTTGCAATTCCCTGTCAATGTACTTTTGCAACTGTTTCTCCATTATCTTCAGCAAAATTTTAATTGCATGTGATATTAATGATAATGTTTGATGACTTATACATTCCATTGGGCTACCTCTGTTTGGACTGGGCACACATATGGATCCAAAATTGTTCACACAACAGTCTTACAAATTTCTTTGCATAGATGAATGAGTTCCTCCACTGCTTCATCAGTTGTGTTTTTAAGATTTCAATTTGTACTCCATTAACTCCTGAAGTCTTCCTTTTCACTACTGTTTCTAATTCAGTAATTATCAATATATCTTGATTGTATGTTTGGTCAATTTCAGACTGAATAGTTTTTATAGAATTCTTCAGTTTCATCATCACTGGCTTTAATGGTTGGTGTGTTAATTGGGTAATAGTGTTATTGACTGGTCTTTCTTATAGGTGTGTGAATATTGATTTATCATGGATAGCTTTGTAGTTCAAGACAGATCTTGAAATGTTTTTGATGATGAATACAGCACATTGCTTTTGAATTGGTTGTTCCAACCATATGACTATCAGAATCAAAATAGCCAGTAACAGTCCATTTCAGCTCATTGGTGCCTAATATATCAATCCTTATGCATTCTTTTCATTTTTTTTTTTTCTATCATGCATTCCATGTTCAAATTATTAATGGATGTTTGCAACTGTTCCTCCTTATTTTGAGTTTTGTTCCATCAGCAAAAGAAGATCCAGTCATGTCATCATAGTAAACTCTACTTTGAAGATGGAGCTCTGCCTCAGTCATATTTTGAGTACCTTCCAACCTCAAGTGCTCATCTTCTATATCTGATACTATTCTGTTGCTATTCATAGTGTTCATTTTCTGGTATTATATCTGAAATGTTTTGCTATTATTCATGTTGTTTGCAATGGCTAAACATTCAAAAGTGGTCTTTCTCTCCTTCTACGTAGTCTTACTAGTCTGGAAGCGCCCCTGAAATGTGTCTATCAAGGTGACTCTACTGATATTTAAAATACTGGTATAATGGCTTCCAGCATCACAGCAAAACATTAACTACCATAGTACGCCAAACTGACAGACAAGTGGTGGAGTGGTGAATTAGTGATTCCTTTTCAAGATACAATTGACTTTCATTGCACTTTGATAAATTCTTAATTTCTAAATATGTAATAAAAAAGTGAGTAAAATATATGTTTATATATGTTTGTGTGTGTGTGTGTATAGATAGATAGATAGATAGATAGATAGATAGATAGATATAGATATCCACCACCCATCTTGTCAGTTTGTCATACTGTGGTGGCTTGTGAGTTGCTATGATTCTGGAAGCTATGCCATGGGTAATACCAGCAGGGTCACCCATGGTGGACAGGTTTCAGATGAGCTATATAACTCAACCTTCTGGAATTTGTTTCGGAATTCTCCTGCTTTTTTCTTAAGATAATTCGAGAATAATTCTCATAAAACATAACTTTTTTATTTCTGATTTATAGACCTTACTTTCAAAAAATTAATTCTTATTTGATTTCTGTTTCTTTATCTTTTAAATTTCTACATAGATAGAGACTAATGAGCAATCACTTATCTGAGAAACTAAAATTCATTTTGAAAATCATTCTTAAATTTTTAAAAAAATCTCATTCTAACTCTAGAGAATTCAAAGAGGATTAAGATTCACAACTCTAAAAATTTTTTAAAAACTCATTCTAACTCTAGAGAATTCAACGAGGATTAAGATTCACAACTTTAAAAAATAAAATGAAATTAATTATGGAGTATTTTTACTATAAAGCCTAATTTGTAACAATATCCAAAGAACACTTTTGTAACAAAACAAAAAGCTGAACGTAACAGAACTTTTTTAAGGAATCACAAGATTGAAAATATAATCAATCCTTAATCTTTATACAAAACACACACACACATAAAAACCCACATATCGTTACTTTCCTAAGTACAATATTTAACTGAAAAGAAAGTAACAAATTATGGGAAACCAATACTTATATCTTTCTCCTGAATGAAAAAATTGTACAATTGACAATATCTCTCATGCTATCTTTATATGCTGTTATTGTTAGGTACCATCCAGTCAATGCCAATTCATAGCGACCTTATGCACAACAGAACAAAACACTGCCTTTATTGCAGTTAAGTGTTCTGGACTATGCATTCTTTACAACGTTATCCATAGTTTGTCATGATACATACAGTCGAATGCCTTTTTGTAGTCATTAAAGCCCAAGTAAACCTTTTTCTTATATTCTTTGCTTTTAGGCATGATCGTTCCAATGCTAGCAGTGTTCTCTTGTGAATCCAGCTTTAATATTTGGCAGTTTCCTGTGAATTTACAGCTGCAGTCATTTTTTAATTATTTTCACCAAAATTTTACCTGCATGTGATGTTAATGATATTTTTTTGATGATTTACACTTTCCCTTGGTCGCCATTTTTTTGGAATGAATACAAATAAGGATCTCTTCCAAATTTCTTGGTATGGACCAGTAACCCCATAGAGTGCTGCATCAGTTTGTTGAAACATTTCAATCAGTATCTTGTCAATTTCTGGAGCCTTGTTTTTTCTCCAGTGACTTTAGTGTAGTTTGTATTACTTCAGTATCATTGATTCTTAAACATATGCTATATCTTGAAATGATTGTGCATCAACCAGTTTTTCTCAGTATAATGACATTGTGAGTTACTTCCATCTTCTTTTTTAAAACTTTTTTATTGTGAATTTTGCGAAGGTGTGCAGAACAGATCTTTCATTTTACATTAAAAAATTCATACATATTTTGTTTCATCTCACTGATTTCAATCCCATTATTGTAACATAATTTACTCTATTTACTCCTTGTGTCTCCTATTTCCATTCCTCAATCTTTCCTAATACTTCTGAACTTATTACTTGGTTAAATTCTGCCCATTTTATCTCAAATGTTGATTCTTCTAAGGTCTGTGTTACTCAGTAGTGTTATTTTCCTGTAGCCCTGTCTATTGTTTTGCTGAAATTTGGGCCACAGGGGTGTGTTCAGTTTCAGTCTTGAAGGGTGACTGAAGGTCATAGTCTCAGGGAATCCACCAGTCTCTATCCAACTAGGAAACCTAGTCTTTTTAATGATTTTGAGATTTGCTCCATTATTTTTCTCCCAGTTTATCCATGGCCTTCTAGTTTGTACTGGTAGCCAGACATGTCTAGTTCTTCTGGGCTCACGGTCATGGAGACTGATATCCACATGGTCTATTTAGTCCATTGGACTAATTATATTCGTGCATTTTTGATTTTCATCACTTCTCTTTCCTCCCGACAGAGAGAACCCTAAAATGTCACCTTAGATGGCCAGTGACTAATCCCAGTGGCTATTCACCAAAGCAGGATGCAGAATATTGCCTTTGTCTTCTATCTTCTTTTGAGGCTTCCTATACTTGATGGCACTTTACAACAACAACAAATATCATTCAATGAGTCCTGGTGTGGTGCTGTGGGTTAATGCACCAGACTGCAAAGCCATTTGAACTGCAAGGTCGGTGGATCAAGCTCAGCAGCTGCTCCTCGGAAACCCTATACAGGGTCACTATGGGTCGGAACTGACTTAACGGCATATAACAACAACAACAACAATATCATTCACGGAGTTCTGGTGTGGCGCTGTGGGTTAATGTGCTAGACTGCAAAGTCATTTGAACCAGAAGGTCAGCAGTTCATACCAGCCGCTCCTCAGAAACCTTATACAGGGTCACTATGGGTTCGAACCGACTCGATGGCACTTAACAACAACAACAACATACCAGTCAATGTATTACCAATAGACCTGCTTCCTCTTTTCTTCCAGTTCTTTTAGTGTCTCTATACTCAAAATCAAGTTTTACAGTCTCTTCTGACATCTGTTGTGGTCTTTTATTTCTTTATTATATTTGTAATAACCTTCCTGATTACAGTTATATGGATACATTCTAAGTCTAGGTGTATATTTAAAGCATTTCAATATATACAATGATATTAGGTACTTGGAATACAACACATGGTGGTTATTTTCAACATAAGTATAGATGTCTGACTGGTCTTTGAAAAGAACTGTTAAAAAGAAGACATAAAAATAATCAGAGTTTATAATGGCTTATGTTAGCACAATTATAAATAAACTATTTGAAGATTTATGATTATTTCACAATTATTGAAATTAACTTTTCATAATCACATGTTAATGACTAATATGTTCATCTATTCAAGTATTAATACTGTGCTTCTATACTGTTAAAAATGAATGAGAAACAGAAAATATTATTTTGAGGTATTTTTTATTAAGAAAAATTAATTGGAAAATGCTAATATAAAAATAAGAAAACCTATCCATGAATCCATTCTCACTATAATTCTGGGTTCTTTTCTCCAAGGAATAAAATAATAATTTTTTTTTTTCTTCTGTGTCATGTTGTTTGGCAGATTGTTTTAAATTTTACCACAATGGATCTGTATAAGAGTAGCTTGTGCTGGTATGACTACATTGAAGTAAGAGATGGGTACTGGAGAAAATCTCCACTCCTTGGTAAGAGATTATTTGCTTTCTTATGTGACTCCAAATGTATACTTCTCTCTCTACAGACAATCCATTCTTTCAAGAACAATCTTTTAAGTAAAAATGTGTTACCAGCATTATATTCATTTCTAAATTACTTTTCATCCATAGTAAAAATGTTATAAAAATAGATAAAATATAATTATGTAACTGATTTAATACTAGCATTCCACAGAACAATGAATTGAAGAGTAGACTGTTAGACCTGAACTAAATGATTGCGAATAGTTCTGTCCTGTATTCTGCTTATAGCAATTCCTCACAATATGTCCTCTTTTCTCATTTAAAAATTGTGTCTTTGATAAGCAAACCAGATAAATTCTGTGTGTGCATTTTTGTTAGTTTTGTTGCTTATGCAACAGTAGAGTGTGAGGTGTTAGGTACATGGTAGTAGCTGACTTCCTGTGACAAGTACATTAGCTCCTACTATAGATGTCACATTTTTGCTACTCAAAGAGTTGTTTGTAGTCTGGGTTATAAACTGTAGTTCAGAGTTATTGCACAGGAATGTCTGCTGCCAATGTTTAACCACAGTTAAACCACTCCATTAAATCTCATGAGATAGTTTACTGTTCCTCTCTGGTTTAACCTAAAGGTGAGAGCTGTTTTGAGCATGTAAGCATCTTCTCTGTTTTGAGATTGTAAGCATCTCCTCTACATTGATCATGGCTTTTCATTATATTTAGAATTTGATTCACTCAGTGGATTTGTATACCATGCAGTTATTTTTCTTTACATTAAAAACCTACTGAATGGATACTATCGCATTAAAAGTACAGCATTTGTAGTATCCAAGAGACACCAGGACTCCTGTTTAAAACTAAGGAAGAAAATCATTTTATAAATTTGATGTCTAATTGAGGAAAATATACTCTTGAACTTTTCGTTTCTTGCCTACAATATATATGTTCATTACAAGAAAATATTTTATTAAATTATAAATCAAAGCCTATATTTTTAAAAGACAATTCTGAAATTCAGGTACACATTAGGATTTTAGAAGCAATGCTCTATGCTACATCTCCCTAACTTACTTGGAATAGTCTAGTAAGAATAGTCTAGTAAGACCTGAAGGTCGTTATTGAATTCGGCCAGACGAAAAAGTTGAGGTTAGGGCTGAGTGTATATACACAATAAACAAGTTGTTGTTGTTGGTGGCAGTGTGTCCTGGAGTGGGTTCCGACTCACAGCGACCCTACATAGCATTTCCAAGTCTGTAAATCTTTACTGCAAAGCTGCTGCACAAGACCTTTTTAAAGTGCTGAAGAACAAAGATGTCAGCTTGAGGACTAAGGTGCGCCTGACCCAAGCCATGATATTTTCAATAACATTATATGCATGCAAAAGCTGAACAGTGAATAAGGAAGACCAAGGCCATAGAAGAATTGATACTTTTGAGTTATGGTGTTGGAGGAGAATACTGAAAATGCCATGGGCTTCCAAAAGAACCAACAGATCTGTGTTGGAAGAAGTGCAGCCTGAGTGTTCCTTGGAGGCCAAGATGGCCAAACTTCGTCTCTCATACTTCAGATATATTGTCAGGAGGCACCAGTCACTGGAGATGGATATTATGTTTGGTAAGGTGGAGGGTCAGAGAAAAAGAGGAAGACCCCCAGCGAGATAGATTGGCAAAGTGGCAGCATCAATAGGCTTAAGCGTGGCAACAATAGTGAGGTTAGCCCAGGATCAGGCAATGTTTTGTTCTGTTGTACATAGAGTTGCTGAGTCAGTATCGACTCGATGGCACCTAACAACAACAAACCTTTATGGGAGCGGAAAGCCTCATCTTTTTCCTGTGGAACAGCTGGTAGTTTTGAACTGCTAAGTTACTAACCTACCTTTGACTAGACGGGCAATTGGAACCAGTTTCTCCTAATGTCATTCACTTATCTTTTTTTTTTATACAACTTGGTATATTTGTAAAATGTATTTTACAAATATGTTTTTGACCAGTTTCTATTTCCATATCAGTTGTTTAGTCTGAGGATAAAAATGTTCAAATTCTTCATAAAGAGATATGAAGAGTTTATTTACTCAGTTTTATTTGATAAATATTAAAGCATAAACAAGGCTCTAGTAAGTGGGATGAATATATGAATCAAATGGGCTTTTCACATATATCATGTATAGCTATTATAGAATAATCTAGTGGAATAGTCCTAAAAAACAGAGTCATTTTTAGGAAACTATCTTTATTCCTTTTTTATTAGGTAGATTTTGTGGAGACAAATTACCTGAAGTTCTTACTTCTTCAGATAGCAGACTGTGGATTGAGTTTCGTAGCAGCAGTAATTGGGTAGGAAAAGGTTTTGCAGCTATCTATGAAGGTAAGTCACATTTAATTTTAGATCCTAGTTCATAATAGATATATTCACAGAAATTTCTTCTCATTTAATTTCATTAGAAAAATGTTGCAATTAGAATGCTTCTGGAAACTGCCTTATGATATTTACATGGTTGAGTTTAATAAGGATATTCAGTAAATTGAAATTTAAATAATGACTTCTTTTCTGATATCAGTGATATATTACCATATAAATGTACTCAAGGATGGTGTAGAAAAAATAAAATGAAATCCTAAATGGCATAAGAGTTCTTTTATTTCAGTTTACTTTCAATTTAATATCAACATATTATGAAGAAGTTATAACTTCTTTTTACTGATTTTGTTTCATTTGGTCTCTCTACAGCTGAAATATTTTGTTGTACAGAAGCTGTACAGAAGCAGTTATGCATATTTCTGGAGCATGCTTTGTGTAAATAAGAGAGTCAGTGTTCAAGTGCTAACATATCAGATGCTTTCTTCTATATGTATCTTAAACAATAAATTGGCATTGTGCTCCCTGGTTTAAAAAAAAAAATACAAAGAGCAGCTCCTTTCTTGCCAAGTTGTGAGTTAAGAAGACCCCACTTTCTTCTGTTTACTTCAAAAGTGTAGGTAATTTAGACAAGAACAGATTTTTGCTTCCATGAAACTTTCATAAAGTAAGCATTTTGTTATAAAAATTCATTATGAAACAGTGAAGAGGATAATGTGGATGGAGCAACAAATGTTGACTCCACAAAGACTGAGTGAGCTCTATGGATGGTGAAGCTTCTCTCGTGATAAGCTATTTTTCCTGAGGTTAATAGATTGAAGGAAATTCAGGGACTCAAGAACAGAGTCACATGGAAGAAAATTACAAAATTCTTAAAAGTTTTTCAAAGTTGAAAAATAAAGTCTTTTTGTCCTCATTATTTTTCCTTTTTGTAAAGATGTAAAATAGTTGTGATTAAAAAGCGTATATTCCTTTGAAAATAATAGCTGGTATTTATACCTAAGTGAATAGGTGTTTTACCATCGAAGTATTTACAACAGTATAACCAGCTTTGGAGCCCTGGTGCAGTGCTGTAGGATAAGCACTGGCCTGCTGACCACTGAGTTAGTGATACAGGGTCACAATGAGGGCATTCCACAACAACAACAACCAGCTAACTTTGCTTTTTATAGCCAGATCTGTTTTCAGGCAGCTATAGAAATTGAATTAAATATTGCCTTAGGAACGAATGAAAAGGAAATGGCATGTCAAGGTTTGTTTATATTTATTTACTTTTGCTTTCCTCAGCAATCTGTGGAGGTGAGATACGTAAAAATGAAGGCCAGATCCAGTCTCCTAATTATCCTGATGACTATAGACCTATGAAAGAATGTGTGTGGAAAATAACAGTGTCTGAGGACTACTATGTTGGATTGACCTTTCAGGCCTTTGAGGTAAAGTCTTTTAGGCGAGTTTCACAGAGCATATCCTCAATATGACAGTGGCGTTTAAAGGGATCCTCTCTACGGAATGGAACAGAAAATCTGTCTTTTAATCAGTAGAGAAGCAAAGGACATTCTATAAAATGTAAAATCAAGAGCTAAAGGGTTTCTTTCTTTCTTCTTTTCCTCTTTTTGCAGATGTTTTCAAGAAGATTAAAGTGAGTTTACATTATCTGTACTATTTGAATTGGAATGTTTGAAGTACTAACAATGGTTTCTTTTGACAAATGTACAAGTTTGTTTCACAAGACTGCTTGAAAGGTCCATTAAATAACAGAACTTTTATTTCTCTCCTAAACCAAGAGGTTAAAGGGTAGACATTCTTTTTTAGGTAGGAGAAGAATACATTTTTCATCTTTTTTAGTATTACTCAGAAAATTGCTTATATCAAAAATATAAATTTAAGTGTTCTTTGGAATATTTTCACTTCATTAGAAATATTTGTCAAGAAGGAAATAAGCACCAATGTTGCTTTATTAGAAAAAAGGTCAGTAAACTTCCAAAACCCAGTAAGAATTCTGGATCATTGTCAGAATTTCAAACTACCATGCTACATAATGGACCTTTTTTTTTTTTTTTAATTTGGAGGAATTGAGTTAGGATCAAACACCAAGAGATGGAGGGAGGGGTGGGAAAGGTGACATTGGTCTGAAACTATAGAAAATGTTTAAATCAATAACACCATCTAGAAATTAAGAATCTAAAGTGAGTGTGTTAGAATAATAAGATTGTGGGGGTAGGTCCGGACATGGGTCAGAATTCACATGCCATTTTTTGGAGATCCTTTGCTTTTTCATTGCTTGAAAAGTTGATTCTTGTTCAAGTGATCAGAAGACAGTAGAGAGACCATGCCCTACCAGAATTCACTTGCCAGTGAGTGCAATATTCAAGTCTGCCTTTCTGTCCCCATAGCATAGCAGAAGCACCAGGGAACAACAGGCGTTGCCCATAAGCTTAGAGAATTTCACACCTCTGCCACTAGGCCTATCCAATTTTGCTCTGTGGTACTTGTCTATATCCCCTCCTATTAGCTATTTAATTTTCCAGGCCTATTTCCTTTTATCATGAAAAAATTAATCAATTTTTCTTTGATCATGCATATGTTGTATTTTATGCTGCTGAGCATTATTAGAAACCTTGGTTCTGATATTACTTGGTTTACATATACATTTTATTATTTTAATGGACCATTGTTCAAATGGGGGGGTCCTAGTGTGGTGCTACAGTATAATCACTGAATTGCTAGCCACAAAATTGGCAGTTCAAATCAATGAGCCCATCCTCAGAAACCCTGTACAGGCAGGGTCTCTAGGACTTAGAACTGAATCAAGGACATTTAACAACAACAATGTTTAAATAGATCAGTTTATTGGTCTTCTTTCTCTTCCTCAGAAATATAAATTCACTCCCACATAATTCCATTTACTATTAATTCCCCTTTACTTCTAGATCTTTGTGCCTCTTTCATTTCATTCAGATAACTGGTTTATAATCACCTTCTTACAAAGACCTTGCCTGAGATCTTGATTTAAAATAAGTTTATACCTACTTTAGTCTCTAACCCATCACTTTGCTTGATTTTAGTTCATTGAACTTAACCACTACTGGAATTGATATTGTGAATCTATTTGTTTGCATGTTTATTGTCAATTTATGTATCATCACTAGAACATGATCATCAAAGGTTAGGGGTCTTATCTGCTTGTTGTTCACTGTATTTCCATACTAGTACATGCTCTACTAATATTTAATAATGTAAAGGAAGAATAATAATATGTGAAGAAATATATGGTTGGATAGTTATAAGTTATCATATCCTTTCTTTATCAAGAAGAGTCCTGGTGGCAATGCATGATGAGCACTGGATTGCTAATCACAGGTTGTCAGGTCAAACCCGTAAGTCACATCAAGGGAGAAAGATGAGTTTTTCTGCTCCGTTCAAGGTTTACAACTTTGAAAACCTAATATAGGGTTGCTATAAATTGGAATTGACTTGACTGACAATGGGTTTTTTGGGTTGGATCTTTATCAAAATTATTGTGTTTCCATACATAGAGAGACAAGCTTGATAGTAAAGTGCCTTAGATTATGGAAGACCTGATACGTTGTGTGGTGAATTTACACTATTGTTCCTGTTACTAAGTGCCTCCGACTAAGTTCTGACTCATAGCGACTAGGAGCAACTGATAGGTTTAAACTTCCGACCTTGCAGTTAGCAGTCCAGTGCTTATTATAAAATGTCACACCAGGACTCCACTAGGAAACTTGAGTCCTAATTATAAAGAAATTAAGAGGAGACAAGGAATTTAGATATATCCTAACATGCTATCTGAATTTTCCACTTAAGGAAAATGAGGCTATACCATTCCCCTACACCAGTACTCCATATATATATATGATGATCCCATATGTATTAGCATAGAGCTGTACTTAATAAGGCTTTAATGGCTCATTTTTCAGAAGTAGATCACCAGCACTTTGTTCTAAGACACCTCTAGAAATACTCAAACCTCCAACTTTTTGGTTAGCAGCAAAGGGCATTACATTTTTGCACTTTCCAAATACTGTAAAGAAGCATCTAGTGCTACTATTTGAGAGATTCAAGTATATAGAAATATAGAAGAGAAAACTGAAAATAACAACTTCAATGAAATGTCAATAAAGCTGGAAAGAAGTGAAATAAACACAGAGCTTACTTATATTTAAATTGAATTCCCCAAATATATATATAATTTTTATTTTAGCATTTACTTCTGTGAAAGTATATATACTGTTATTAAGTGCCATCAAATTAATTCCAACTCATAGTAACCCTGTATAGGGTTTCTGAGGAGTGGCTGGTGAGCTTGAACCACTTACCTTGTGGTCCAGCACATTAACCCACAGTGCCACACCAGGACTTCATATATACATATATATTAAGTTTGAGGTGATGTCAGGATTTCTACACTTTCTAATCTGGTGATACTTTTCTTACGAAAACAAGAAATGTATTAAAGTATCATTACTACATTTTAAACTTAGTTCAAATATGTTTTTCTTGGTATTTGGTAGATAGTCTGACTGAAAGTAATCCTTCAATTTCTTTAATTATCTTATAGTAGTTTAAGATACACTAGGCTTTGTTAATGAGTTAAATAGCCAAAATAGGAAGAAATTAATTAATTAACATTTCATTTAGTTAACCTATTTGCAATGTACTATTTTGGGGTGTTTGGCTAAGAATTTTTGGTGTTATTGTTAATTTCTTTAGAGTCAGTTCCAACTCAAAGCAACCCTGTATAGTGTTCCCAAGGAGCAACTGGTGGAATTTTGAACCACTGACCTTGAGGTTCAAACTGACATTACAAACCAGTGCTGTGTTGATTAATAACTAAAAGAGAGAAAAATAAGTAGTTTCTATGAATTTGGTTTAGACTATAATTCTACTCTGAAAGATTAGGACTTATTTGTTTAAATAAAATTGACAAATGACATGCATTCATGATGAGTGGCGCTGGAATTAAAACCAATTCCTTGAACTGTGCGTTTAAGCATCAAAATGCAGATAGCAAACAGAGGCATCAGTATTCTGTCTTGAAGCATTTGGTGCTTTCCCTTTATAATTATCTTTATTTGCACAATTGAGAGTCCTGGTATGGTGCTGTTGGATAAGCACTAAACTGCTAACCATAAGGTTGGCAGATCAAAACTACCAGCCACTCCTTGGAAACCCTATACAGACTCACTGTGAGTTGAAAGTGACTCAACGGCACTTAACAACTACAAATCATTAATTGTTGAATTTTATTCTCCACTGTTTACAATAAATGTTTATTGCCTGGCCGTAGCAGGTTTTCAAATGAAAACTATTTGTGTCATGAAGGAGAAAAAAAATGAAGTGGCAGTATTTAAATAAACAGTGCACGTGAAACTAAACCTAACCTAGTCCGTGACTTCAGTTATTTTCACATGGTTATACATATATATTTACTATCTTCCCATTTTTATGTTATAATTGTCATATTTTTATATTGTTGTTGTTAAGTGCCTTAGAGTCGGTTCCGACCCATAGCAACCCTGTATAGGGTTTCCAAGGCTGTAAATCTTTACAGGAGCAGAAAGCCTCATCTTTCTCCCATGGAACAGCTGGCTGTTTCGAACTGCTGACCTTGAGATTCGCAGTCCAATTTTTGTAACCGCTACACTACCGCAGTTCCTTGTTTTTTTTTGTTAGTTAACGATTAAATAGTATCGTATATTGATTACGGTGATAATGTTAAAAATAATGATCTATGTCAGTCTTTTCTCCTTTTGGTTCAAAATTACTTTTGTTGGTAGTGTCTTTTACTAGACATTACTGCATTTTGGTCATTTTTAAAGTAAATTTCATTTTTAATGATGAAAGATAAATTGCATTGCTTTTATTAGTCATACCCCCTAGCATTTTCTCCAAAGCAAAATGGTTTTAGCATTCTTTCAAGTGCAAGCAATGTTAGATTACCATACATAAAAATTTTACCATTTATTTAATTAATTGCATTTGTTATATTTTTTTGGTGCTCTGGTAGTGCAGTGTTTAAAAGTTGGGCTGCTAACCTCAGGGTCAGCAGTTCGAAACTACCAGCTATTCTGCAGGAGAAAGATGAGGCTTTCTGCTCCCATAAAGATGTATAGCCTCAGACACCCCGTACAGGGTTTCTGTGAGTCAGAACCAATTCCACAGCATTCAAATGCCACCACCAATTATATTTTGACTATGAAAGTCATGGGATAGTTTTTATTGAAACTTTTTTAGTTTCAGTAAAAGTTTTTGAAAAAAATCGTAGGTTTTCAGTTTTTTTTTTTTTTACAAATAACTAGGCCCTGCAGGAGATACTCTTTAGAATGTTATATTTGTTAGTGAATGTGTTTATAAATGAAAGCAAAGCATGTGAATAAGCCTAGTCCTAAACCTGGGTCTAATCCCTCCC